CAGCCTGCGCTTGCATGTGGCTAGAGACAACTACACATAGATAATATATCTGTAATATGAGGTGTATATACCGATTCATGTGGACGCAGGGTGACCTTGAAAATCACAAAAAAAATTGCATCGTTAAACAAAGCGGTTAATTTGAGTGCAGATAACTTCAAAAGGGAAGGGATAACTGTTAATCTAAGGCCATATTTAAGAAATATGGCGAAAAATAATTTAGAATACCAAGTTTGACTTTGAAAGCTATTACCAATCCCGAGTTATAAGCTTCCAAATTTGTAAATAGTAAATAGCGTTTGCACATCTTGAAGATTTTTTTTTGGTTTTTCATACAGTGGATCATTTTTATGGAATTTCATCAAAGTCTGATATGGTCATTCAGGAATTTTTTTTTTAAATCTGGTTGATTAGACCAGGTTATTGTGACTGGAGATCCAACGAAGTCAGGCTCTTTTGTACCATGTTACAGACCAGCCCCTAGGGCGATCGTTAAGCTAATTGATTCGCACATTAAATTCTCGTTAACATAATTACTTCAAGTTATACCGCTACCAATAAAATGACGCAATCCTGCCATAGATCGTCACACAGTAGACCACTCATTGAAGGTCATCCGAGTTTGCTTAGAATTTACAGCAAAGGAATGAAGCAAAGAAGCTCATTTTTCTATTAAAAGTTAACGGAAATAATGCTAACATTAGTGTGTTTTTTCTTTAAGTGTCAATGTAATGTAGTTATCTAAAATACTGACCTAGGCCTAGGCTAGTCCTAAAATATTATGGAGACGAGATGCAGCCAAACGTCTGGCGACAGTCCAAATGTTCACAATTTCAAAGAAGCAGTCTTAAGCAAGCAGTCTTGTCATCTCTCTCACCTTACCAGGGAGCTGTCATGTTTTACCCATTCTGAAATCTGTACTTTTTTAACTTTAAAGAGTTGACTAGTCCTATTCTACAAATTCATAAATTTCTTAACGAAAAATGGCTGCCTTTCAGTTATGCTGCCTTCGGGTCACATGTTAGTTTGTTTGTCATTACTGTACTCGTCTTACAAGAACTTTTCGGTACTTGTTGCGGCACGACGAACACCAAAAAGAAGTAGAACTGTATACGATACTACAAGAATTACGACACAAATTCCAATTCAGAGAATTATACCATCAATAAAGAATAGTAATTTATTATTTTGAATGCGCATTATCTTGTATCTTCTTCATTTTCCAAAATGTTTAGAAGTGGTTTTGACGAAAAATAATTTTACATTAAATGAAAGAATGAAACCCCTAAATCGTTATATTTTTTTTTTCCTTGAAACACTTTAGAAAAATTTTAACAGACGCCTGACCACGCCCACTTAGTTCTCACCGGGGACCTCCCCCTCTGCCGACATTGTACCGTTCCACTCACTTCCCCTTCCCCACCCCCAGATTTCATAGGCTGGCGCCGCCCCTGTTATTAACACATTGCATATTAAAATCGGGTTAAATTATTAGATTTATCCGCACATAACAGACATTGCATGAGGGGTGGGGTGTGGTGGTGGAAGGTTGAGGTGTTTTGAGATAAACATCTTGCACATATGTCACCCCATTGGACAATTATTGTTTGGAAGTGGTAAAATGTAAAATAGAATCCATCGTTAAAATAATATCTAAGAAATAAATAATTACGTGAAACTATCATATTTCATGTTTATTTTTTAATAAATATACTGATAATCATTATATCATATCATTTCTTATGTATTTTTCTGTTTATCAGTTATTCATTCCGTCAGTAACGCCATATTTTGTCATATTATTTAGTTTGATTGCTTAATACACTGCACTAATATTCATCTGAAAATAATAAAGTAAAGCATTAAAACTAATTTTATAAACATTTAATTAAAAGAATTCAGGAAATACAAAAAACATAACACACACACACCCACTCCTTATCATTAAATCAGGATTAATCTAACTCCCTGATCGAAGCATGAAACATATACCTATAGGCCTATGCCACTAAACAGGAACTATCGCCAACAAAAACCATGTTCAATGACGTCACAGCCTGCCAAATCATCAAATTTATAATGAGGTTTTCTCTACGAACACGTATGGGCACAGTTTATCGTTGAGTACCAGGAGTACGAACACATGTTTACCCACCAATAACACCAGGTTTCATCGATAGGAACCGTTAGGAAAGTGTTTCAATCTTGCTTAAAAATCATCTAATACTATAGACATTATAAATGATAGCTATATTTTCGTATGAGTACAGACAAACGAAAAATTATCGGATTTTTTTGCTTTTTTCGGTGAAAGATAGGCCGCGAAATGCCGATCAACAGAGCATCCGAAGAACAATAGTTGAACTATGAACTTTAAACTGCGCATAGGGTTTTACTATTGGAGTAACGTCGGACACTTGGTTTGTTATTCATGTCCTCACCTCCCACTGCAGTGCTGCACTGTTGAAGCCGGTCTGTATGATAGTACATCAAAGGCCTCGTTATCGCTCGTGAATGGCCTTTGTAATTGGCGGTTCGTTTGTTCTTAATAGGTTTATTGTGCCAGCGTTGGATCTCCAGTCACTATAACAACTAGACATGGAATGACCCTAAAATAGGTCAAAGGTCAGAATGTACCATATCCGGTCACTATTTGAATATTTGAAGACGAATATAAACATGAATCTCCTGAACAATTTGCAATCAATTGTGAGTCTCTGTGACCAGTAGTTACCGAGATATGACATTACAAGGTCAAAGGTCAAACTTTCAGAAATCGCATTTCCCGTCATTTTTTGATAAAAAGTTGTATTACAACAAATAGGAACATGCATATTGTGAACAATTTGAGACCAAAATCAAGTCTCTCTGACCGGTGGTTATCGAGATACAAGCATCCAAATCAACAGGCGGCCATTTTGAAAAACAAACGGGACTTTTTCCCCCCAAATCTGGGAGGTATATAGGAGCTATATTTTATCTAAATTGGTCCATCTTGCCAAATCCATCGAGAAAATAAGGTATCCTAAAATTAGTCACGGATCTCATGAAAATGACTCTACTATGGTTAGTTATTATAAAAGTCAGTAATCAATCGCAGCGTCATTGTTAAGTGCATAAGTGTATGGTCTGTGACTATTTTTGCAGCCATAGAAAGGCACTTAGTTCACATCATTCCACGATGACAGGGGCTGAAATGAACCATACCATCAGGAATCCCCTACTCAAAAGAAAAATGCAAGTGCTTATTTAAAGTGCACACAAGCCAGATATATACACTTGACTGGATTTTAGGCTGCATGCGGCCTAACAGTGATTTTTTTTGCGGCCCACCAACCATCTTTGATTAGAAAAGACCTTTTTTCTTTGCAGAATGACACCGATCGCCTGTAGAAAGTAATATTAAAACTGAGCATTAAGTATAAAGGTTTTTGGAAGCACACTGGGTGTGGCCCTTAGTATTAAATCAAAAATTCACTTTGGCCTGCCGACCATTTTTTATGCCTACCCCTGATCTAAACACAGGCAATGCAACTTCATGATCTGTGCTATAAATATTGTTACAGTCTGTTAGTATTATATTAGCTGTACTGTACTTATATTTTACTTTGTTAATTTACATTTTTCTGATTTTAAAATGCAACCTTTAACTACAAAAACATTACAGTATTATAAACAGCGGTCTCAAAGATTAAAATCACAAAAATTTAGAAGAATCATGCATGATTGCCATCACATACGCCTCAGCTATGTTGCTTACCTTGATGCATCTGTGCCTCAAGTCCAACTGCAAGGCTTACTCATCTTCTAATCAGAGGAGGGATATTTATTGTAATCCTTTGATATTTTGTAGAACTGAATTTTCTAATAAAGGAAAAACTTCTTCGACCAAAAATGGGCAATGGTTTTGAATATTTAAAAACTGGGGGAAAAGGAGGCGTAACTACCCTTTTTTCCACCTTGACATGTTATACAAGTGATTTTTCTAAGACACTGAAGTATATTTGAAGTTCATAATTGGGAATAGTGAAGGAGATACAGATATCTGGGAAAGAGCATAACACCGTCTTTTCACCCATTTTTTAAATATTCAAATTTTTTCATTACCAATTGTGTTTATCAACATATCAAGAAAGTGATTTCCTCCAGAGCCTCGCTTTAATGAACTGATTAGTTAATTAAGTTCGGTCATTCCAGTTTCCGTTTGTGACACAGAGGTATATGTTCTGCTACAGGCGGTGCATGAGTCTTGTGGCTTAGCAACACAATTTTTATTTTTTATAAATGTGTAAATTCTATATAGCAGTAATGTAACTATTAATGAATTTCCATAAATAGAAAGCAACACTAATAATATGAAAGAAAGAAGCCATGTAATTGGTTTAATTGTACTAGTTGATTCCTCTTCTGATTGTTCAGATTGTTCAGGGGCTTCCACTTTAAGAATCACTGATGCAGATCCTTCTAGACCTCCATCTTCAATAGTACATGTGATATTTTTGCCATTAGACTCCTCAGTTACATGTATTTCTATCCAATTTTTATTCAATTCCATTTTCACCTGGCTTTTTATCTTGTCTGGAATATACCAATGGAAACTAGCACTCTTTGTGTAGTTGCCAACACATGTTAATTTGGCTGCATCTCCAACCGTAAAATTCTGCTTTCCTGATATGGCAACATTGAACACGTTACTTACTTTGAGTGTGACTTCTAAGCAATATTTTGTTTCAATTTTGCTATTTGATTGGTAACAAGAATACTTTTGCCCATTTAAGTTTGGATGGGCCCTGAATATCATTTGAATCATGATATGTGATCCATTGTTAATTACATCACTCTTTGATTCTTTGCCAACAAATTGCAAAACGGGTTGCGGAGATGTGTTCTCAGTTATGCAACTCACTATTACATTCTCCATAATATCATAAAACGGCTTGGATATCGTGCATATTGGATATTCTTCAGATGGAACTTCAATTAGGTCCAAATAGGCTTTATGTGATGACACTGAAACATTTCCAAAGGCGTAGGCAGCTACGTAGTATCCTTTATCAGACCGGATAAGTGGATTTATTCTCAATGTGAACTGTCCAGTATCTCTGTTTGCCTCATCGTACGTTATACGAGGATCACTTTTATTGACATAAATCGTATCTTTATACCAGGTAAGCGTAGACCCTGGCTTTGCATCGTTTAGCATAACAGTGAAGTCGGCTGATTCCCCTTCTTTTTCGGTTACGTTTTGTGGTTGGCGCAAGATGCTTGTAGCTTGTGGTTCAACGACCACAAATAAATTTGTTAATAAAAAGTACACCTCCAACAAGATGTAATTCAAACCAAACATTCTGATTATTTTAATTCCTTCACTTATTATGGCCTGTAAGAAAGTAAGTAAAAGCTATCAGTATAGTATATAGATATTGTATTTATGTTATAAAAGATCAAGAATAATTTTGTCATTACGCTTACTTGACTTATCTAACCAATTTTTCTTAACCCTTGCCAGTCGTATGGCGTCACGATGACGCCCTCTTTGACCATACTTTATAGCGAGGGGCGTCGTACGTACACCCTGTATAGATTTCATGATAATTTTTTTATAGCCAGGCTGCCCTCTATAGGATTGTTTGAGAGTGATGTAGGGGTATTTCAGTAGAGGGCCTCCTGTATTCAAACCAAATAAAATGCCTGCGCCCAGTAAAAACCAGAATATAAAACCAAAATTTTCATAATTTTTTTTGTAGGAATGGTACTAATATTTTTAGAAGTTTTTTTTTTTTCTTATTTATTCAAAAGGATAAAAAAATTCCTACCTACTGTATATTGATGTTCGACCTCTCTTTCAAGTTACTTGTATATATTCAATCTGTAGTGTCAGAAAGGTAAAAATTATTTCAAAGGTGAAATTCTATGCTTCAAAGTCCAATTAAATGTATGAATCAATAACGTAACATGTCTGTGTATAGAGCCAGTTTTACACAAAGCAAATTCATTCTCGTGAATCAAAACCTAAATCAGTAGTTTTTACTACACAACAATCAATCTTGTTTAATTTATTTGTTCTCGACTTATCTGATATTGTTAAGTCCCATATTCCCTTATATGCTGATGATACAGTCCTATACAGTGCCATCAGATCTCATAATGATGAAACAATGCTTCAAACTGACCCAAAGAACGTTAATGAATGGAGCAAAAATAATTGTATGCGCCTTAATCTGTCTAAATGTAAAATGATGAGAATCACTCGCTCCTCAGTAATTAAAAATTTCATAAAAACTTACCATCTTGATAACACAGAACTCTTTATTGTAAATAAACACAAATATCTTGGGATTACTATTTCTTTTAACCTTGGCTGGGGGATCGTGTCAATGCTATTTCTACCAAATCTTTGCGTCTTTTCGGTTTTATTGAACGTCTAATTCCGTTTAACAATCCTTCTGTCACTCTCAAACTCTACGCAACTCTTGTCCGTACCATACTTGAATATGGTGTACCAGCGTGGTACCCATATCAATCTGACCACATACATAAGCTTGAGAGAAGGGCTATAAGGGCTTGTTTTCCTTTTAAAAGTTGTTATTTAACTTATGACGATAGGCTAACTAAACTAAACTTAATTTAATTTCAATTAAAGATAGATTTGATATGATGTCCATCTCCTTTGTTTGCAAGTGCCTATTCTATTTTGTATATATCACCTTGACATCTTCTCATATATTTCTATTAATATGCGGCATACAGACAATCTTAAATTTTTCTCATTCCTCTGCCAGGACAAATACTTTTAAATACTTAATTTTTAATTCATTTCCTAGATTATGGGAGACATTACCTGCTGACCTCCGAAATTCTCTCCTTAATACTAGTTACAAATATTTTCTTAACAATCTGAATAAACATTATGCTAACTCTTAATTAGTGAAATTAATTTTTAAATTTAAAATTTTTACAACACACAACACATATTTTTAACCTCATTCTTTTTAAATATTGTAATTAATCTTGTTTTATTTATTTTAAGTGCAATGAAACTTTAAATGATTTGTTTGACATATTTACATTGAATATTTTAAGATAATTTTTAATGCTTATCTGAATATTTTTATATATCAAAATACCTTTTAAATTAAATTTGCTCATTTATTGATATTTACACATTTTTCTATATTTCAATATTTATCTTTCGATTTTTTATCTTTTTGAAGAATTTTATATTGTAAGTATTTGTGTTTTTCTCATGAAGGGCCTCCACTGGATAGTGATTGATTTTACTTTTGGAGTGTCCTGTCTCTTGTTTTTTTTTTTGTTGTACTTTTGTGATTGTTCTTTGTCGTTTCTGTTTATGTACATTTTAATTGTTTGAGACAAATAAATGAAATGAAACAAATCAGAGCTGAGGAAGCGAACCGACACTTTCAATTTGTGCAAATAAATTTGTCTAGTGTAAAACCAGCTCAAGCCGACCCTGTGTATGCATTAACTGCCTAAATTGACTAAAATTAATGTTTTTGTATACAAATCATATTTCACTTTAAAATATAAGAGTACAATAAAACGTCCATATTACATAATTTGAAAAATTTGTAAACTAGGTTGTATGCCTATTTGTGTACCTTTGTACGTTGTCGACGTTTGTGCTTTACGAGGCAGACGATTGATCGTAGACCTTTGATATGCATAGCTGTTACGTAATTAGTTAGTTAACAAAATAAAAAGTGATGCAGAAAGGCACACACAAGAATTGGGTCATTCAACTAGAAGCAAGAATGAGAGCAATGTCATCATCAATTCATTTGTGGTACCGCACTGAGCCTGAACTTATTCTAGTCATGTTTACAAGGCATGCATTGGAATCAGGTCATTCAACTACAATTATTACAAACGCATTCAAACAGTTTGTGAATTCACACACTGGCCTAGAGTAGTTTAGTCGCATACTTTTTTTTTCATTCATGAGACCATCTCGCAGGTCAAGAATTATTTTGTCAAAATAATATGCTTTTGAACTCATCATTCGTTGTTCGATCTTCAGTTATGAATACAAGGTTTGATTGTGATTTAGTGTCTTTCTTGTTAATTCATGTTAGAGCTGTTGGCTGTCACACCTGGTTTTCTTAATGTTGCGTTTTTTTTTAGTCATTGTTACTAAAAATGGTTTCTTGCCCCGTATTTGATATTGTTTGTGTTGACAAAGACAATTCCATTGATTTATTTGTTAAAGTTTTACTAAAAAAAATTCAGGGGACATGCCTATTAATGGGGACACTAGCATGAAACGAGGGGAAATATATCTTTTAACACAAGAGCCAACCCCTATTAAGGGGACACCCCCATTGTGTGGAATGGTCAAATAACCCCTATTAAGGGAAACTACAGCAGTCTCAAAATAAGAAAAATTAATTCATTAATTATATTTTGACACCTTTTGAGCAATAAGCCAGAATTTTCTTCCCTGAATACTTTGAGTGAACATCGATATAGGCTAACATGCTCATTATTCCTATTATAAAATGAATTATATTTGCAATGCTAATTACTGCTATAAATGAGTTCTAATTTTACTGCAACTGATTCTTACATCACTCAAAGTAAAATTATAAAGAATGTATGTTATCGTTATTAAGGGACAATTTCACATTTTCGGTTAGTGTTCTATTAAGGGGACACTGTTTTAGTCCCAAAGGTGTCTCCTTATTAGTTCTACTCTAATCTAGTTTCAGTCAAAATTTAATTGAATTCATTCAGTTTATTTAATGTTTTCAGTGCCATTGAGGGTTTATATCTGCTTGAATTACATTACACAAAAATATAACAACAATTTTTTTTTTAATTAAATAAAATATATTAATGGAATTAAAATCATATATACACTAGGATTCCCCATGTCTCATTAAAACAGGGATGAAAAATGTTGATTCACATTGATTTTTCAAAATTGAAATTCATTTATATAAAAAATGTTAAAATACCTGTATGTAGGAAATCATATTTTTTGATTACATAATATTCCACTCCTCATAAATTATCTACTATATTAAATAATATATAATTCATAAGCTTTGGAAATAATCTACTCCTATATGAATTATATATTTTGTTATATAAAAATGATAAAAGATGTAGTATCAGCAAGCCACAGTCAGCTTATTCTAACTCCCCACAGTGTTATGTGCCTTCATAATGCTACAATGCTCTTTCCCACTCTAGACAAACACTAACATACTGTAACAGTACAATTCACATGGCTTACAGCAATAATATTACAGCAGTTCTAACCTGAGTGAGGACAAACAGCCACGTGCACTCTATTTAATTTCTCTATTACTAGAAATGTGAAAAGGACAATTATTTGATACCTTAATGTGGTGTATTCTGTAGCAGGTCAGATTTATGGCACCTTATGATCCTCTGATCAACCTCAACATGCTTCCTATTGTTACAATTACTTAATACATTTTTAGTACTGAGGGCAGCAGTGTAGACCACAAGTCTCAAATTTATTGATACAGACGCAATATTGGTCAACCGCCTAGGTTATTATTCCTCAGTTGTCCTCACACTGAGGAAGAACACAGGAGTGTTTAAAATATTTTTGATTTAATAAATTATATTGCTTCTAGTATGTTTAAAACTCATAGCTGTTTTTTATTGCTGTCTTTTTATATATTATTTATCGAAGCAAATGTGGAATCTTCATCTTCTAATATATATATATATATATATATATATATATATATATATATATATATATATTCGGTCCTATCCTGTCTCTTATACACATCTAGAAGTAGTTAGAGATATGAAATGCTTTATATTATGGATTATATTATTATACCGTTAAAGAGATATAAATCCCTTGAACTCTTAGTCGGAGGTGGGTATCACACTTCAGGTCACTTTTTTATCAAATATTCAATTAGACCGACTTGATTTGATCTGATCTATTATGTTTCTTATAAAAACAATTGTCTACTGACAAAATTAGACCTTGTGACATAGGTCAGTGGTCAGTATCAACATATCTGTTTTAAAAAATGGTTCAATCCAGTAAACAGAAACATGTGTAAATGAATAATTTGAGATCAACCAAGTCTCTGCAGCCAGTATGTATAGGGATAGGAATATGCATTGAAACATGTCAAAGGTCCAAACAGCCAGATAATGGGGAAAATAATAATTTAATTTTATTGGTGTATGTAAACAGTGTAGTAATATGTTGGGTATATGCTTTACATTTAATTTAGAAGAAATGTACATATTTCAGGGCAGCAGCAGGCATAATAATGAAAACCTTTTTTTTTTTCTGAAATCTCCATTTTTTCGCAGCTGCAGGTGTGCTAATTGGCTAAAAATAAAATTTTATCTTTATTTGAAATCATCATTATTGGCGGGTGGCAGGTTCACTAAACAAGGTAGAAAGAGAGTCTTGCCTAAATAAAATTGATATATGTTACATCAACCTATTCACTGCTGTTAGGGCCATATACAACAAATTATGGTTATTGAAGTATCTTGTGTCAGCCATTTTGGTCCTTAATGGAATAATAACATAATGTACGATGTTAAATGTACTCCTATAAATATTTCATCTGTGTCCTGGATCTCATCAGTATAGTAGGCAGTGTTGTTGATATGCCTAAACAAAATTTTCCAATAAAATTATTCAATGAAAATGCCAGAAATTACTCTTTACAGTCTTTCCTCATACCAATGTATTACTTCAACTTGATTTAACCATGTAATAGCATCTTTTCATCAATAATGTTGCACATTGAACATTGGTATTCATAATTATTAGATTTTTGCTGGCTACTGCATAATGACTTGCAAAATTCCCAGCTGCCTTTATTATTGTTGTGATTTTAATTATTCAATGATCGTGTGCAGTATATTAATAATATTTGTATGAATGTCAACAGAAGGGGTCCTAAAACAGATCCCTGTGGTATACCTATATTTATTTTCATGACATCAGATTGTGCACAATTAATTTTAACTATTTGAGATCTGTCATCTAAATATAATCTAAACCAATTTAAAGCCATAGTATTAGGACCAAGTTGTTGTAGTTTATAAATAAGAAATGGATGATTTACCATGTCATTGTCAAACACTTATTGCAGCGGTGGCTTTGCTTTCATTAAAATAATTCTGTGTTTTTTTAGTTGAATGAAACTTACGAAAACCTGATTGAGCATTGTTTAATAAATTATTTACGATTAGAAAATCATATAGTTATTCTTTAAATTATTTTGCTAATTATTGGCAATACAAAAACAGGCCTATAATTATTCGTATCTGCTCAGTTCCCATCTTTGAAAATAGGTGTTATTCTTGCCCATTTCCATTCTGGTTAAAAATATAGGCTAGCAAGTTACATACAACTGGTGCCGCAAATTTTAATAATGTTGTATCGAAACCATCAAGACCAGTTGCCTTATTGTTTGAAAATTTAAAGATTTCATCTAAAACATAGACAGGTTCAATAAGATTAAAACTAAACACATTGTTATTAAAATTTGGTTGATTGGTATTAGTATTTGTGTTAGTAGATGTTATACAAAACTGCCAGTAGCTAATGAGTTTCCAGTAGGCCTAATATTTTCAAAAATCACTCGTGTTACGAGCGCGATGCGCGAGTTAGAGTGCGCCTAAGGCGCAAACATTCTCTTGGGGCCCTGTCAATCTGGAGGGGACCATTATTAGGGGACCCATTCCATTAATTATTGAGGGCCCATGATAGTAATTATTATTTTTGAAAAAAATATTGAACAAAAATGCTACCTGCAATTTCTATGGGCCCCTGGTAAGCTTGGGCCATGGGGATCATTCCCCCTGTTTCCCCTCTCAGTGGCACTGCTGGAGAGTAGGACAGGCCAACCTACCATACAATGCCAAGACAATGCCTAGCAGCTCATTCCCTGACATTCAATAATGAATACAGGAATACCCTTACCTTTTAGTATCAATTGTCTTCCTAAAGTAAGCTGGCTATTGGTATCAAGACTCGTGGCAAAATAGAATTTGTTATTGCTAAGAAAACCCATATACCCCCTGTGATTAGGCAATCTCACATGCTACAAATGGGTAAATAGGCTTAAAAGAAGCCTATTGTTATTAATGTGTTCTTTGTTAAATTTTTCGTGCTGCTTTTATTGTACTTTTTATACACATTTAAAGCCTAGGTAGAAACATTGTACCTTAAAAGAGGCATACCAAATTATTTATATGCAGTTGTACTTCGCAGCACTTCACTTGCAATTTGCAATTTCTAGTATAATCATTATTAGTAGCAAATATACAGTAAACGGCTCATGAAAAAATAAGTGTTCAATTTAAATTATAACGATTTAGTTCTTCTAATACTGTACATTTTTGCAGTGAAAAGGGAGTCAGTGAATCAGTGTTATTTTGTAAAATTATTTAGTTTTAGGTTTTGTAGAGTTACTTAATTTCGTTGTGCTGAGTTAAATAATCAAATCAACCTATTATCTATCTAATGACAAATTGGTAATAACTCGTATGAGCTTGAATGTATTTGAAAGTACTGTTTACTTTTTATTTCCCTTATTTCAATATCCTTTATATTTATCCTTTATTAATATACAGTATATTTATTTATTTCATTACAATACCATTTTTAGCCTTGTAAAAAAAAAACTTAACATAAAATTTAACTTTCAAGCCATATACATATATAAACTATAAAAATATAACATATGAAACTACATACAGTACATCAATGCCATACCAGATTAGGGACATTACAATCAAAACAGTTCATCTTGGAACCAAAATACCCATTGTAGCATACCTCATGGTATACCGACAGAATATAGTGTTAAGTTGTCTCTGGTTTTGTTATGTTATAATGTTACGTTAGTGTGCATTTAAAGTGCCTTCCTAACAATAGCATAATATTATGCAGCTGGTTTTTTTTTTTGTTATTTTTTTGTATGCTTGAGAAGCTTTTTAAAGTTCTTTTAGTAGTAGTACTCAAACTCTATTTCACTGTGATAAAGCATTCTTCCTTCAAATGCTGACTGAATCAGATTAATAATTAATTCTTTAAATAGTTTAGGGCTTTTATATATTGTTATACCTTCTCTATTGTGTGCAATATTCATGTTAACTTTTTCTCATGTTTTAGGTGCAGCTGAACCTTTTTGTTTTGTTGTTTTTGTATTTTTAAAGTTTATATGGCCGAATAAATAAATGAAATGAAATGAAATGAGAATTTGTTTATCACTATCTTATTTTGTTTAACAATTTATTTATCAGAATGTCATTTGTCTCCATGTCTGCCTACCTCTTTCTAATTGGTCAAAATTTATCTTGTATTGATTTTTGGTATGTTTGTCAGTATTTTTGGACTTAAACTATTCATTCTTGACAATGTTCCAATAAAGAATGAAACGTAGATTCAACTATGGCCTCACGTCTGTCATTTTTCGGAGTCACCATACTCATATTCTATTTACGTATAATATGAATGCGTTTGAACATTCTTTCTGACTAATTATGGAAAAAATATGGGATGTTAGTGTCATTTTTAACTAATGTTTCAAGTATAAATGCATTATCAGTAGTTGGTACTGGAGAGCTTCCAGACAGATAGATGCTCCTTTGAGCAGTCCTACCAGGTATTGCTGAGTCGTTTTGTATTTTTATGTTCATATTTGTAAATTTGAAATGGTGAAATAGATTATATATAAATAAATAAATGATTCTCGATGGTCTAATGGTTAAGACATCAGGCTAGATACTTGGAGGTCGTGGGTTCGATTCCCACCCGAATCACTTGCCAATTTTCTAGTCAAACTGTTGACTGCAAAAACACCAAGCCAGACAAAATTCTTATCAAAGCAAAATTAGTATCAAAGCAAAATTTGAATCAAAGCAAATTTTGTATCGAAGCAAAATCCATATTGAAACAAAATTAGTATCAGAGCAAAATTTTTATAGAAGCAAAATTCGTATCAAAGCAAAATATATATCGAAGCAAAATTTAAATCAAAACAAAATTTGTATCGAAGTAAAATTCGTATGGAAACAAAATTCATATCGAAGCAAAATTTGTAGCGAATCAAAAAATTTGTATTGAACCAAAATTCATATCATCGTATTGTTGCGTAAACAATTCCATACCCTTGGGTTGTTTGCTGGTGCATTGATATTTAAAGTAAATTACATGATTGAGATAATACAAACAATATCTACTATTTACAAAAAAATGTTTTTTTTTTCCAATACCATAGAAGATATGTGGGCTAGGATGATAAACTACCATAATCATTTTGGTTCCCATTAACAATAGGAACCAAGAGAAAGAAAATATGGGAAAATATAAGGAGTAACAGTTTTAAGAGGTATGGTCACTGCAATTCTCTCACCAGATGTTTGTGTATACCATCACTAATATATTCAAGCCTCTGAGGTAGACAAGGCTAGTTTTATCTGTTTTTGAGTCTGTGTACCCTAGAGGCAAAGACACTATGGCTATGTTCACACACACGGCGTAAGACTGGCGTGGCTTACGCCAGGCGTAAGCTAATCCACGGATTAAAATTCCAAAGTGTTCACACAAACGGCGTTCATTAAACTAGCAGTAATATTATAGGCCTATGTGGAATAGTTTTCAGTTTTAAATAATGTACGTGTTAACAGTAGTAAAATTAACAGTGCATCATGAAAACTTTTAAATCTATGAATTGTTCGAAGTGAACTTATATGATTATTGTATTTAAAATGAACAATTTTACTTTTGATTTTTCAGCTAGCATTGTTGATGTTGCATGTTTTAATAGACAGTCTAAATGGTTAAAATATCTTACAAAACACAATCAATAAATCATATACATTATAACTAAGTAAAATGCAATAGAAAAGGAACCCCTTCACCATTTCATTTATAGAGAGCACAGAAAAGAGATCAAAGTAGCTAATATATTGCAATCGTGATTGGTCAATCTCTTGAAATGAGGTCAAATCATTCAAGCATCACTGGCGTTAGCTCAGTGGCGTTAGCTAATCTGGGGTCTTCAGGTAGCGTTAATAACGCCAAGGACGTAGCGTAGTGAGTGGCTTTAACAACGCCACTGCCTAGTTCACACACAAAGGCATACGCTACGCCAGGCTTAAGCCAGCCTTACGCCGTGTGTGTGAACATAGCCTTATGTCATGATCTGGTAATTAAAGTTGGCGGAAAGTGTAAATTTGGTAGAGGCGCATGATGGGTCATGTGTCATCTTAAGTACCTTATTACTGTACAAAAGTCATTAAAAGAAAATACAAAAAAAAAGTAAAAAGCTTAGCACATTAAATGATATCAACACGCAGAATTTCTAAACAAACCTACACTCAGTTTTAAAGTTCCCATTGTTTTACACACAGACACACAATTACATATGCACAAATGCCACCTATTGCATAGGTTCCTACTGCAGTCAGAAATATAAAAAGAAGCACCATTACTAATTGTCTCAAAAACCTTCACTCAATTGATACAACAAAATATTACAAGGGCCTTTTCCTACATGTTAAACAGACTTCTATATATGTTCATCTAAACCACAGGTGGGCACAGTGTGGCTCTCGGGCCGCATGCTCTCGGGCCAACAGTGATTATTTTGTGGCGCACGAAAATGAATTAAAAATTGTATGTGTGTGGCCCGCCAACCATCACTGAATATAATAGACCTTTTTTTCACAGAACGACACCAATCATCTGTAAAAAGTAATATTAAAACTGAGCATTAAGCGTATAAAGGTTTTTGGAAACACACTGGTTGTGGCCCTCAGGGTTTAATAAAAAATTCACTTTGCCCCGCCGACCAATTTTCGTGCCCACCCCTGATCTAAACACAAGCAATGCAACTTCAATCTATGCTATAAATATTGGTAACCATTCTTTTTTCCACCTTTTTTTTTTCATTTTATTCAATATCAAAATCGCAGTCGAGGACTGAATTAAATGATACTTACAATAATACAGAACATTAATATAAAAACATCAAAGGAAAGTAATATAAAAACATCAAAATGTTAATTACTAATTACAATACACAAACAGCACAGATTAAAAACATTAAAAATTGCATTTTTTACAAATTATATGATTAAATTTTATCTTTATACAAATTCGCATACAGGGCTGAATTAATTGATATTTACAAAAATAAGGCAAGGCAAAAAGGCACCTTAATATGTTATACAAGTGATTTGTCTATGACACTGAAATATGTTTAAAGTTCATAATTGGGAATAGTAAAGGTGATACAGATTTCTGGGGAAAAGAGAATAACACTGCCTTTCACCCAGTTTTCAAATATTCAAGTTTTTTCACTACCAATTGTTATTTCAAACACCACTTTGGTGTATTAGTAAAATCATTAATTTTGTAGAACATATCAAGAAAGTGTTTCCTCCAGAGCCTGTCTTTAATGAACTAATTTAGTTAATTAAGTGGTAGTTCGGGCATTCTAGTTTCCGCCTCAGGCACAGGGGTATATGGTCTGACAGAGGCGTGGCCTAAGTCTGGGGGTTCTGCACCACTATTTTTACTTTTGATATATGTGAGCAATGTAACTATTAATAAATTTATAAAAATTAAAAGCAACACAAATAATATGAAAGAAAGAAACCATGTAATTCGTTTAATTGTACTAGTTGATTCATCTTCTGAATGTTCTGGTTTAATTGTACTAGTTGATTCCTCTTCTGATTGTCTAGATTGTTCAGGGGCTTCCACTTTAAGAATCACTGATGCAGATCCTTCTAGACCTCCATCTTCAATAGTACATGTGATATTTTTGCCATTAGCCTCCTCAGTTACATTTATTTCTATCCAATTTTTATTCAGTTCCATTTTAACCTGGCTTTTTATCTTGTCTGGAATATACCAGCGGAAAATACCACTTTTTGTGAAGTTGCCAACACATATTAACTTCGCTGTATCTCCAGCTGTAAAGTCCTGCTTTCCTGATATGGCAACATTAAACACATTATTTACTTTGAGTGTGACTTCTAAGCAATATTTTGTTTCAATTTTGCTATTTGATTGGTAACAAGAATACTTTTGCCCATCTAAGTTTGGATGGGCCTTGAATATCATTTGAATTATGATATGCGATCCATTGTTAATTATATCACTTTTTGATTCTTTGCCAACAAATTGCAAAATTGGTTGCGGAGATGTGTTCTCAGTTATGCAACTTACTGTCACATTCTCCATAATATCATAAAACAGCTTGGATATCGTGCATATTGGATATTCTTCAGATGGAACTTCAATTAGGTCCAAATAGGCTTTCTGTGATGACACTGAAACTTCTCCAAAGGCATACGCAGCTACGTAGTATCCCTTATCAGACCGGATAAGTGGATTTATTCTCAATGTGAACTGTCCAGTATCTCTGTTTGCCTCATCGTATGTTATACGAGGATCACTTTTATTGACATAAATCGTATCTTTATACCAGGTAAGCGTAGACCCTGGCTCTGCATTATCTAGCATAACAGTAAAGTCGGCTGATTCCCCTTCTTTTTCGGTTACGTTTTGTGGTTGGCGCAAGACTTTTGTAGCTTGTGGTTCAACGACCACAAATACATTTGTTAATAAAAAGTACACCTCCAACCAGATGTAAGTCAAACCAAACATTCTGATTATTTTAACTCATTCACTTATTATGGCCTGTAAGAAAGTAAGTAAAAAGCTATCAGTATAGTATATAGATATTGTATTTATGTTATAAAAGATCAAGGATAATTTTGTCATTATGCTTATTTGAATTAATCTAACCCAATTTTATTTAATAATAGAATATTAAACCAAAATTTTCATAATTTTTTGTAGGAATGGTTCTAAATATTTTTAGAAGTTGTTATTTATTCAATAGAATGACAATTTCTACCTACTGTATATTGATGTTTGACCTCTTGTTTCAAGTTAATTGTACATATTCAGTCTGTAGTGTCAGAAAGGGTAAATTTTTTTAATTATTTCTATGCTTCCAAAGACCAATTAAGTGTATGAATCAATAGTGTATCATGTCTGTGTGTAAAGCGGGTTTTGCACTGGGAAATTTATTTGCGTGAATCAAAAGCGTTGGTGTATATGCGCATTCATATTTCTATCAGAGTTTTTCGCTTCACCAAAATCAATAGTTTTTACTTTTTGCAAAGCGAAAAAATGCGCAACAAATCAGAGCTCAGGAAGCTAACCGGCGCAAATGGATTTGTCTAGTGGAAAACCCGCTTAAGCCAACTCTGTGTATGCAAGTTCAAGTCTGGGTGGGTCTCTACCCAAAGCAGTACACGAAACTGAGTATCATGGGATGCCATGGCCAGTAGCATGTGAAGAGCAACACATAAGCATTCAATTAGTATTAATCTTATTATTGTTGTTTATTTTATATTTATTGTTATTTATTTATAAGCATCATGTTTTTTTTGACATAATTTGAGTAAAAACAATCAAAATTGAATAAGTGTTTTTGTCAATAAAGTTTATATATACTGTATTATGCTTTCAGGATAAATTAACCTTATAACGACCGATAGAGTTAAGTATATAAATAATTAAGAACCCATACCATCTTATTCACAAAACCCTACTCCTGACCATGACACGCCTACTTGTCCTGTTATCGCATCAACATCAACACCTAGTTGAGAGGCAGGCAGCATTGCCAACATTGCTGCCTCTCATATTACCCCTCTAACAGACTAAATTAGTTACCAACACAAAGTGAATTATAGTGGGTATAACATCAAAACAAACCACTAGGTGGCAGTTTTTTCACAGAGTAATAAGCCTCCACTCGAATAAATTTTGACAGTTTTAAAACTCCTCAAATTTATGTATTTGTACATTTTATCATAAAATAACTTATCAAAAATCCTTGGTAAATATTTTTTTAATAAATTTTAGAATTTTGACCTGTTAGATTTGAAATGGAGTGAAATAAACAGATGGAAAACTTGAACATGTTTGCAGAGCCTAATCGCATGAACACGGGCCAAGCCCTAGAGTAGAAAGTCATACAAATGTTCTTCTGACTTATTGGCCATCATAGTCAAAAGAAACATCTTATTCTACAATTCAGCAATTTAAGTTTGTCTAATATTTTAAATTTTTGCATACAGAAATTGCAACAAAATGATTTGGTAAATTTAGCTCAGTGTGTACATGTAAATCAACAGAGATCCCCTAGTCAGCACTAGATATTCCCCCTCCCCCCAGAAGACCTCACAAAACACTTTATATTTTTGATCTGAATGGAAGTATAAATCAAATCAACCTTATAGGCTCATGAATCTATGAATCATTCAAAATGTATACATTGTTATAAAAAGTATCTTCTATGCTATCTTCATACATTTTAGACGATTTAATAAACACCACTTCGACTCCGCTCAATTAACTTAGCTCTTTGTGGTTTGTTGACAAATCATACCCAGTGGCGGATCTAGGAATTTGAAATAGAGGGGGGCTCAGGGAGGAACTGGCAGATGGAGTGTCTACACCACCTTAGCCCCACTATGGTTGGAGCTGAGGTAAGAAATGGCACCTCCAGATGGCCGGAAATGGCACTCTCAAAAATGGCACACTCAGTCTTAAAATTTGAAAATAGTTCTCTTTTTTTCTCAAATTTTTTACAATATTTTGAAAAATTTAGGGGTTGGCTGGGCCCCACCTGCCACTGATATCCACTTGGCTGAACTGTGATGACGTCATCTTTGGTGACTAATTCGGTCTATTACACCAACTTCTATCTTATTAACATGTACCTTCCCCACCTCATTCAATTCTAAAATCGCTCTCCTATAAACCACTATAGACCAGGGGCGGATTTAGTGGGGGCCGCCCCGGCCCCCACTATTTTATTTTGGGAAATTAAAAAAAGGGAAAAAAAAGAAAGAAAAAGAAAAAAATGGTAGCCCAGAACGCTTCAAATGTTATTTTCGGGCGTCTAGAACACAAAAATGTCCCGGACCCCGTAGGACATTGTTGTCTCGATCGGCCCAAATTTCGGTCCCCCTTTCGGCCCCCCCCCCTTTTGGAAATCTCTGGATCCGCCCCTGTAGACCCAGTCAATAGTGAAAAAGAATAAATCGAGATTATAGCGAACAGTTATAACTTGCCAACATCCAGTTGTTGCATCTTTCTTAATGTATCATCTTAGCTGTTTTTGTTTTTTCTTAGTCAGATGGTCGAGCCGTAGATAGGGTCGTGCAGTTTGGAGAGGGGCACCATATCAGTCGCCAAATAACAGTACTACAGCTCGCTCTTTTGTTATGTTGGTGGAACAAGTTAGATAACTATAAATCCTGCAGGCCCAGTGTACATATTCTGATACATATGCAAGTGCACCTCCTAGTTCCGTTACCTCTGGATTTGATTGTGATTTAGTGTCTTTGTTTTCAATTCATGTTAGAGCTGTTGGCTGTCACTCATTTTTCTTTATGTAATCTGTTTAATGTTTTGTCGAGTTAGTGTTAGTCAGTGTTACTAAAAATTGTTTCTTGTTCCTGTATTTGTAGTCTTCACAAAAACCCCAATAAGAAAGGGGGAGGGTCCCTTTGATTCCTAGGTGGCGGTAAATGAGCTCTCCCGACTTCTGAGGTATCTTTTAATGAATTTTAAGTTCTTCAAAATTCAAGTTTTTCCCCTCTTGAATACGGTCAGGTAAACTTTCTCATTCTTGTTACAGTAAATAGGCATATTTGTGTGTATAGGTAAATAAATTAATTAAGTAGTTGCATACATTTTTTTTTTTTTCATGAATTGATAAACCCCAAAGAAAAGGGGGTCCGCTGGCCTTCCCCCGTGAAAATTTTGATCTCTAGATGGCTGGGAAGTGAGCTTTCCTGACTTTTGAGGTGTCTTTTAATGACTTAAATTCTCCAAATTTGAAGGTTTTACCCTCTTGAAACAGTCAGGTATATTTTCTCATTCTTATTAAAGTAAAGAGGCCTATTATGTGTGTACCGGTATACACAGAAAAAAAAATTGTAGTCGCATACAATATTATTTTCTCCATAAAATGATGAACCCCAAAAAAGGAAGGAGGGTTGATTGTCCTCCCCCTTTAAAATTTTGATTCCTAGATTGAGGGAAATGAGCTTTCCCAACTTCTAATTTTCCCATTGCAACAAGAAGAAAATCAGCTCACAGGTCCTGAAAAGGTAGGTCTAGAATTTTTTTTTTTTAAAGAGGAGGGTGGGGGTCAGAATCCCTCGACCCTACCCTCAGATCCGTCAATGGTTGTCTGCCTAAAGTCAGCTGGCCATTCCATGGTATTAAGACATACGGAAAAAGCAAATTGTGATATGCCCATTTACTCCAGGAAGTGTTGCCTTCCAACTGTGATCAGGCAATCTCACATGCATTGCGATCAGTAGGTTAGTGTGTAATATACAATCATAATACTTTTGTGTGAGGCTTTTAAATAAGCCTATTGTTATTTTTAAAAAGCATATTATTATTATTTTGTTCTTTTCGCACTGCTTTTTGGGGTGTTATTGTACACTTATGAACACATCAGAAAGTCTAGCTAGAAGCATTTTACCTTAAAGGCAGGCATACCACTTTTACTATGATATAATCATTAATGGTACCAAAACAGTAAACGACTCATGAAAAAATAAGAGTTCAATTTAAATTATAAAAATTCAAATATTTTTGTTCATCTATCTATTGTATTTATTTAATTAATTAATGTTTTTTATTTATTTACTATTTTATATTTTGAATTCTTAATAATTTAGTTATACTGCAGTGAAAAGAGAGTCTTCAACTGAGTGATTTAGTGTCATTTAGATTGTTTTTTGTAAAATTGTTAATGTTTAGTCTTAGTTTTTGTAGAGTTTATAATTTTTATTGTGCTAAGTTAAATGCAGTTCTGTTAAACAATGGAATCAACCTAATCTATCAAATGAAATAGGTAATAACTGGTATGAGCTTGAATGCAATTTAAAATTTTATTTATTTAAAATCAAATTAGTCAATTATGAACCATGTTCTTGTAACTATTTTTTAAAGACCTATTTAATATATTGTATATCTATTTATTTTATTAATACTATTTTTAGCCTTGTAAAAAAAAATGAATTTAACTTTCAAGGCATGAGGCAAGATTTTCTTTATTCCTTGTTTCGCGTACTTATTTTTTTTAAAGCTCGTCGGAGGAGAGCAGGATAAAAGTAAGAATAAAATTTTGTTTTCTTATTTAGCAAATAGATTTGCCAAAAACATCCAGATTGAGGAGAAAAATAAAAATAAAATTTTAATGGTGAATGTAAAATGGGATGTTAAATGCTTCAAATCAGCGGAGGATGTAATAAAAAGAAAAAAATTTTTTTTTCTGAAATTTTAGTTTTTTCATGGCAGCGGGTGTGCTAACTGGCCAAAAATTATTGTTTTCTTTTAATCAAAATCATCAATATTTACAGTCGGTGGGTTCACTAAACAAGGTATAAAAAAGTCTTGCCTGAACTAGAAAAAAACACCTTAACTTATTAACCTAGGCCTACATATAGTACATCATTGCCATAATACCTGAAAAGAAAATTTAAATGCAAATCAAATTACAGAATGAAATTAAAGAAAAAAATGCTCAAAACACATTCAAAAACAAAAAGTGGCAGATTTAGAAAAATATCTGTCTATAAGATCAAAAATTTCAATCAATCAATTTTAATAGATTGATAGAGATTCATTATTTTTTAATATAGATTTAGAATATAAAACATGCAGGCTTACCACCATTGTTTCTTTAATACTAGCTGGACCTGGGTATACTATAATCAATATGTTGGGACATTAAAATTGTAACTGTTCTTCTCAGTATAGTGTGTATTTATAGTGCCTTCTCTATCTGGTTTATATATTTATTTATTTATGATTGTCAATAATGAATGTATCACTGTCCTACTTGTAGGTGACAATCCCTCTACACACATACCATAGACTTAGAGATTGTTGTTGGAATTATATTAACATAAAATATGCAGCTGTCTTTTTGTGTGATCAGCTTTAAATTTGTGAGCAGATGTTTGTGAACATACAGTAATTAATATCGTAGATAGTGGCTTAATATCATTTACTCTTATTCGCTGAGACCACTTTAATATGTGCTGATGTTTGTTTTTCTAGATAACAGAAAAAAACAGTCCTTCCCAGTGTGCCATGGACGAACCATGTTCCCAGACAATGGACCATGTTTGAATCTTTTGTACAAGCTTTGTAAAGCCACGTGTGTATTGTAGATTGATTTCTGCTTCAGGCCTATTAGGCTGGCACAGGATTGAGGTTGAATATAAAACAACACTAAATATTAGTAGTAATATGAAATATAAGATATGAACTCAGATTATAAGATATGAAGTCGGCTAAACTGGTGGTAGTGACTGTATGTGCACCGAACTGTGAAGATCTTTGTTTCCTGGTTCAATTCCATCCTCTGCTCTCCTTGTGTTTCAGCTGAAGGGCTGGAATGCAAGCACCGTCTTTCAAAAGAGCAGTGGCGGCGCCAGTGGGGGACAGGGAGGCTTAAGTCCCCCACCGGACAGGTCAAGTACCCCTGCCGGACAGAGCACATCGGGCAGTCAGACCATAAAACATATAAAAATAGGCCCATTCCAAGCCAACACATGTCTGTCACAGTCTTAGAGTGCCATTTCCAGCCATCCAGAGGTTGCTATTCTTAAAAAAAATATCATTTGTTAGGGGAACCCCCCTTTCAGCCCCTTCCCCAACTCGAGCCTACAAGCTCAAGTCCCCCTGTTGGACAACTTAGCAGCCCCCCCCCCCCCCCCCCCCCCCAGAAAATATATCCTAGAGCCGCCACTGCAAAAGAGATATTTTAAACTGTTGGTCCCATGTGAAATATGGCCCATGTCCACGTTAAAAAATGCAGTACACTCTTCGGAAAAGAGTAAGGGATTGTCTTCCGGTGTACTACTAACACAATCACCAACTAAAGAACCCGACTGGAAATAATTTTTTAGCAGTTTCATGGGTTATCCTTGGTATTTACACCATATAAACCCATTCCAATAAGTCAGTCAGGATGTCATCATTCTCATTTGCACATAATTTCTCTATCCCCAAGCAGGTATTAATCCAATATTAAAGTGCCCGCTATTGTTTGCATCTCATGTGCAAAGACCTCAGAGCTGGGGTTTTACATCACAATTGAATATTTTGCGCTAGGCATTAGTTATGAGATCAAGGTGATTGACTAAGAACTGAAAAAAAAGGCAACGCTGCCAATAGAAACATGCAAAAATTAATGGACCTTTTGTCATTTAGATACGTAAGCTGTGATGTATATTATGGTAGGCCTGTGTTTATTAAAGTAAGACATTAATTTAATTATGATCCTTTCTTTTGTTCTGTCCTGCCTTTGATTGATCCTATTTATTGTTCTCTATATTTCCTTTTTATCTTTTTTTTTTTGCATTTTTCCCTGAACTTGGCTTTACCTTTATCGATTATAAAAAGTTTTATATCTTTATCCTAACTATATTAATGCACATTAAAAGTTGTTTCTATTGAACTTTTTCCGAAAATAACCTTTGATCTCTTTGTTTTAATTTTATGTTATGTTTCCTGTTTTCTTTTTGTTATTATTGCATTTTTCTGATATTTCTTTTTGTTACTTGGATTTAAAATTTGTTTCTCCTGGATGTTTCTCCTCAATATTTAATATATTAACTATTACAAAAAAAAATCTGAATTCTAGAAAGAAGATTGAACGATGCAGAAAGGAAGAAAGGCGAGAAAGGTTCAACTGCAAAGAAAGAAGAAGTAATATGATGATAATAACAACTAAAACAACATCGGCTGCATCATCAACCCCAACAACAAACAACATTTTATAATCAGTTGTCATCATGATTTTATGGTTTTTTTGTTTGTTTTTGTCATTGTATGTCTTAATTTGATAATTTTTGAATAATGTTTTTTATTTGAATCTATATCAGTACACTATCTGTAACGATATTGTAAATTGATGTTATTATGAGCTTCATACAATTTCAAAAGGTAAAAAAGACCACTAATGGAACATATCACATATTTTTTATTATTGTAATTAATATTAAATATAATAATATGCAAATGCAGTGGCAGATCCAGGAATTTGAAATAGAGGGGGCCTGGAGAGGGACCTTCACAGATGGAGGGTCTATACTACCTCAGCCCCACCATGGTTGGGGCTAAGGTAAGAAAATTTATGATTATGGGACCTCTAGAGATTCAAATCTTTTTATTTTTACAAATTGTGGGGAGTGGTTGGGCCAGCTTGGTTCCCCTTTGAATCTGCCACTGAATATACATATAGACAAATAAAATTGGTTGAGAAATTAATAAATATTTATCCCACAGTCTTTCAAATTTCTGCTCTTTACTAGTACAAATTTTACCACCTTTTTATAATGCTCAGGTGGCCTGTAGCTATTAAGAACCTTGTTTTGTAAGTAAAATTATCACCTTTCTCCATTACATCCTCTCTCCACCAGCTTAAAAGTAGTAGTTGTGTTATAAAAAATCTTCTATTCACTTTAATTGTTATGCTTGGAGTTTTCAAGTTAGTAATGAAACTCTGGATCAGATTAAATTGCCTGTGAAGAGAATTAAATAACCAACCTGTTGCTTGGTATTTTTGCTGCTCAATAGCATTTCTGGAACAAATGGTCCATTATGTACGTAATTGCTTATTAAAGAAATGTTGAATGTTATTTTATGGTCTATTAGTTTTAGAATAGAAGATTGTCACAGAGAAATTACAAATGCTTCACTAGTTTTGCCTTTCTTAACTATAGTTGTTGACTGAACCATGAAGTACCGCTACAGTGGCAGATCCAGGAATTTGAAATAGAGGGGCCTAGGGAGTGACTTTTTGACGGATGGAGGGCCTCATACCACCTCAGCCCCCCCAACCATTGTGGGGCTGAGGTGGTATGAGAAGTAAAAAATTTACGATTATGTCTCCAGTAATGACATTCTCAGACTTAAAATTTGAATGTAATTTCCTCTTTTTTTTTTTTTTTCTCCAAAATTTTTACAATATTTAACAATTTCAAAATGGGGCCCGGGCTGACACTCCCCACCCCTTGAATCTGCCACTGCACCAGGGGTGGCGCCAGAGGGGATGGGGGGCTATAGCCACCCCCGTCGGGGAAGACAATTAAATTTTGTTGGGGAACAAACAAATAAAAAAAATATTTATTTTGTAATATTCGTTTAGCCACCATATCGTTTGTGTTAACTTTTCATCACAACAACAACCACAATAACAATAATAATAATAATAATAATAATAATAATAATAATTCAATGAGACTAATTAAAAATAATTTGCTTTCTGTTATGACAAATGCTCATTTAGATAGCATCATGATGGTTGGAATACATCGTGATAGGTGAAGCAACCTTGACCATGACAACGTGGTTGACAGATTTCATGCAAAATTTCCAAAATATAGAATTTCACTTTCCAGAATGAGGATTTGAAAATAAATTAGATGGTTACATTGCATACTCATTGTTTCTTGCTTTATTCAAAATGTTTTGGTTTTGGAAGCTGATGTCAACATTAAAAAGCATAGCCTACATGAAGTCATTATTATAGTAACTCGATGCCTATCAAATAAGTAAAAAAAATTCGCCATAATTCATCAAATATCCGTGGCTTCCAGGGGGCTTAGCCTGGACCCCCATCGGGGGGCCTGCAAGGTCCCCCTGGCCCCAGCCAAGTGAGACTTGATTCGCTCCACTAGCCCCCCCCCCGTCGGGGCCTTTAGCCCCTCCGTCGGGCAGGTCCTGGCGCCACCCCTGCACTGCACTAGCACTACTACTAGTTTCCAGGTGCACTGGCAAACCGGGCCAAACAAAGAGTCTCTATATAAAGATAAAAGCAAAGATTATTAATTATCAAGTGGCTTGCAAACATTGTATTACAGTATTATGTGTTATCAAGTGGTTTGCAAATATTGTATTATTGTTAGGTATTTGCCTTGCTTTTTTATATTAACATCTATAAACTGTCTTCATTAAGTTTTTTTTTAGAGTCTCTATTCACTAGCCACCTTTGCAGGTGTACACATTTGCCAAAAGAGGAAGAGTCTGTACTTAATTACTTCAGGCTTTGTCCACCCACTGTCGGATATAAACCGGCCTCCTCATGATCTTTCCAATTTCATCTATCAATTGCTTCTCTTGCCCATGTTGTGCCCCTCTCCTTCTTCCATTCCTAGGTTGTCACTCTGTCATTCTTTTAGTCCATTTGTTATCACTCATCCGTTCCATAGTCTATACACTTAAGAAAATGTATATAAGCAAATAATAATTACCAGTATAACATGATCAGCAAACCATGTTATGTGAATTTGCAATTGACTCTAATTTATTTGGTGACCCTGATTTTGGGTCACAACCCATTTTATGAGAATCGCTGGCTTATTTGTTATTCGAATAGAGGCCCTGGACTTTTTTTTTTTAGGACCATTAGATTAGATTCTTTCTGAGAAGGGCCTCTACATTCAAGATGGAGTTCTTTTCAAGATAATTTTGCACACTCCAAAGTATATGGCATGATCACTGAGATTTAATTCAATACAGGCAATGTAAGTACAATTGAATTGAAACATTCATAGTGGAAGTTAGCTGATAGAGGATTTTATTTGGGAAGGAATGCAAGATAATACAGCAATATATTACAATAAATGATACTAATAATTTCAAAAGGAAAAGTCCAATTAAAAACATTTCAGCACAGTGTACCCAGAAGAGGGATTTTGGTTATTGTCTACCGACTACAATATGTAAAGTACAATAAAATTATGAATTATTTTGTATTTGAAGCTGCTATCCATTGGGCCTAGGATCACATTTAAATACCTGTACAACAATATGAATAAAAGTTATCAGTGGCATATTCAAGTGGGTGGGGCCCAGCTGGCCCCCACATGCGTTGCTGTAGTTTGCGACAAGTGGTGTATCTAGTGGGTGCAAGGGGGTGCATGCCCCTCCAAATATTACTTGCACCCCCCAGTCACCACCACCCCCCACCAAAATAATCACGGTCTAGTAGTTAAAAATCACCTTATTTTGCGAATTACCGCCCCTCAATTGATCATCGAGCCCCCCTACTTCACCTTTGTGCCCCACCCCCATCAGCACCCCCATTTCAAGACTTCTAGATATGCCACTGTTCGTGACGCCTTTGCCTTAGTTTGGCAATCGACTCATTTATGTGACTATAATTTTTTGTTCATTCTGTCCACAGAATGATCTTTTATCGAATCGTTTATCTAATTCTGAAAACTTATTATCAGAAATCGTGGCGCTAAGAACCAATTTCAAAGCAGTGCAACTTGAATGAGACAATACAGATGCAGACTGAACAGGTAATGTAATGTAGTTAGATTTGTATAGGACTTCATACTGAAACGCTCTCAAAGTGCTCAAGCTGTGGACTAGCTCTTATAGTAACTTGATTCTCCACTAAAGGTTTCTTTGTGTCTGAGCTAGCAGCTACTAGTCCATCTGTCCACAACAGGGGCTGAATGGACCCAGTACACCGGGGAACCCCTTACTCTTGAAAAATGTACTGGGTGCACATGAGCCAAATTGTGTACACTGGGACTTGGTTTATAGTCCTTATCTGAGAAGACTTGTTCCAACACCGGAACCATAGGCGAGCACAGGGGTGGCGCCAGGACCTGCCCGACGGAGGGGCTAAAGGCTCCGAAGGGGGGGCTAGTGGAGCGAATCGAGTCTCACTTGGCTGGGGGCCAGGGGGGCCGCCTAGGGTCCAGGGGGCGAATCCCCCTGGAAGCCACAGATATTTGATGAATTATGGCGAATTTTTATTACTTATTTGATAGGCATCGAGTTACTATAATATGACTTCATGTAGGCTATGCTTTCTAATGTTGACATCAGCTTCCAAAACCAAAACATTTTGAATAAAGCAAGAAACAAAGAGTATGCAATGTAACCATCTAATTTATTTTCAAATCCTCATTCTTAAAAGTGAAATTCTATATTTTGAAAATTTTGTATGAAATCTGTCAACCACGTTGTCATGGTCGAGGTTGCTTCACCTATCACGATGTATTCCAACCATCATGAGGCTATCTAAATGAGCATTTTTCATAACAGAACGCAAATTATTTTTAATTAGTCTCATTGAATTATTATCATTATTATTATTATTATTATTATTATTATTATTATTATTATTATTATTATTTTTATTGTTATTGTGGTTGTTGTTGTGATGAAAAGTTAACACAAACGATATACAGTAGTGGCTAAATGAATATTACATGTAAATATTTTTTTTTATTTGTTTGTTCCCCGACAAAATTTATCGTCTTCCCCTCTGGCGCCACCCCTGGGCGAGCATGCTGTTCGAACTAGCTCCGATATTATAGTTGTGCGTTGTGAACATGGATAAATGAGTAGGTGGATGGATGGATGAATAGCTACATGGATGATAAATGAATAATTAAAACATATAAATCTTTCATGTGTTTTTTTTTTTTTTTTTTACATCAGCTTCAACAAGAACTGGAACAGTTTGATCCAAACTTTTTTTCGAAGAGATAGAAGATCTTACATTCAATTACAGAGAAGCAAGTGAGAGGAATATTAATCAATTAAGGAACTTCTCCAGGCAGTTGGGTGTTTCTATAGATATTCCGCCGTGACAACTGGTCAAGACCACCAAACTATCCTGTGTTAATGTTTGTAAAAATGCTTAAAAGTTTTACTAAAATTGTTGTGTGTGTTACCAAATATTTTTAACGTGCAAAAGTTATTTTATGCAAATAATTAACAGGAATCCATCCAAAATAATTATAAAAATAATTTTGTATAAATAGTATGACCAAGACAAATGATGGTTTGCATTGGTACCGACTAATCTATTTTTGTTAGAAGTGTTTTTTTTTGTTTTTTTTTGTAACAAAGGCAGTTAGTCATTTTATTCAGGTAATTATCTCATTCATAGACCAACAATATCACTTCTGACTTGTGTGATTTCTTTTAGGTAATTATCTGATAAGAGTTGTACAAGATGACCAGTTGGTTGTTGAAATTTTAGCCCATTCCATAGATTCTTGACACTTTCCGGGCAAAACTTACCCCATGAAGAATGGTTAAATATATGAAATGCTAAATTTGAAAAACAAGTTTTTTTTAAATTTATAATAAATGAATGAATATACTGTATTTGAGATGCAAATAATGTTATCTTTATAAGGTAGTTTACCCTACCATATTGAAATGTATAATACAATATCTTCGTAGATAAATGTCATCATAGATAAATGTTTAAAGAAATGCTTTTATCTTCATTGTGCTATTTATTTTCTTTTAAAACTGTAGGCCTATACATTGTACTTAAAACCCTGTTTCTCAAAGCGTTTCATTATACAGAGTAATATAGGCCTACTCTTGATGAAGCACCGCTACACTTATAGAGAACGACGCTTAGCTAAAAAAACATCAGGTTTGGTGCAGCTCTTATTCGAGAGGAGAGCTTATTCAAGCATTTACGTTAATGCTGCTTTTTGCACCTCTGCTATGATAGATCTTGCTATCTGTGTGTATGCTATTGAATGAGGTCAATCAATCTATCAATCAATCAATCACCCCTTTTATTACAACTGTCAATGGAAAACAGTAGTTTAACTTAGAAAGATTATGAATAAAAAGGCACATAAAAAAATTACTTCAATGTTAAAATATAAAACCATACAAAGTACTTCAAAACGGACAATACAAATCGTTATTTTATTTTGGAATTAAGATAATAATCTACAAATTTACTCTCTTATTTATATCTTATATTTAGAAACGACTGAAAGTCGATAACGTACAATTTAAAGTATTTTAATTGTTACTGTGTACTGAAGTTTCACTTGCAATTTAGATCCTTTAGTGTTTTAATAATGAACTCATGAAAACAAACTCTAAATATAGTGATTAGGATAAAAATGTTGTTTGCAGTTAATATTTACGTATGTACATTGGTTTCAGCAGGGAACAGTTAAATTACTGTTTCAGCATATGCAATAAATGGGGTCAAGATATTTATATCTTAATATGTATTTTTTGTTTATGAATTTCACTACCACAACTAGCAAACTTAGCGCGTGTCGTTCAAAGGCTGAAACTATGAGGTGAAGAAGTTCTCGGTTCGTCGTGGCCAAACACAAATTCTGACAAAAATTTGCTAATTGGACGTATACTGCCTGCAGTCCTACTAAACGACTCATAAAATCCCACGACATCACGACTACTGTATTTACCATTCATTGCAAATCATTGTTTATTATTTATAAATAATTTTAATTCTTTTTGTCTACTGTAACTTGTCAGTATTATAGTGTTGAGTTTTTCATTACCTAATTCTTGTCCATGATGACAAACCTCAACGACAGCCACAAGCTCATCGTGATGATGAAGATGATTATGATATTGATTATGATGATGTTATTGATAATGATGATAACAATTGTGATGATGATGATGGTGGTGCTAATTATGATGATGAAGCATTGATGATGATGAAGCATTGATGATGATGATTATGATGAATGATGATGATCATGGTGATGGTAGTGGTGATAACAACAAGGGTCCCAAGTCTCCCGGAAATCGGGACAGCCTCCCGCACTCCCACAAGCATGCTAGGATCTCCCGGAAATTGTCCCATAACCCCAGTGGCGTATTAAGAAATCTTGAATTGGGGGGGGGGGGGGGGAGATGGGGGGC